CTCCCCTCCCCCCCCCCCCCCCCCTTTCCTCTAGTCCAGTAACGAGAAGAGAAACGCATTACGAGGAGGAGCAAGAATACCGTGATCAAGTGGGATCCGTCCCGCCGCAAGACCGGATAGCAATGCAATGCGCAGCAGCACAGGGGGAGGCTACCCTAGGTACCGGTAGGTAGGCGCCTGACTTGCAACCTTCAGCGCTTCAATTCAACTCAACTAAAAGGGGATGGGTAAGTGGATGGGATTGAAAAGGTCTTTTGATTGATTGATGTACAGGCGTGAGGGTGGAGATCGATCAACGAATCAGTGCCTGTTGCGTTCGACTGGAGAGTTATTCGCTAAAGACAAAGACAAGACAAGGTTAGCTACGATCGGATGAAGCGAGAAACGCTCCGTACAGAGCAGAGCTGGCTGGCTGAGTTGCCTTCAACTTAACATGTCGGTGGGTGCACCAAGTTGGTCTCAAGACTTCCTGGGTCTTCGACACCGACAAAATATCAGATGGGTGGGTCGGCCGGATGCGGTATTCATGCGCGAAGCCTTTCTGGCAAATTTTGAACTTTCGTCTTGGCCGCGGCTCGAATTTTTTGGCAGGTGAGACCCGTACTTAGCATCGGAAGGGGCCATTCAGAGTTCGCATAAAAACTTTCTTCGGAAATCGTCCCTATTTTGGGTGATTGGCGACTAACTTTACGAGAAGCGAGCTGATAGAGTGAAGGGGCTTAGACATCGGACTCGGATCTTCGCAAGGCATTCATGTTCATCGAGTGCCACCAATTCGCGTTTCCGTCGTAATCATTTCTTGGGTGAAAGAAGCTCTCGGCCAGCACGGCTAGCTCATTGTCCGAATACACCAGAGGAGCTGTCGCAGCTGACAGCGGTGCGTTGGCCACAACATTTGGGTTGTCAAGAGGATCAGCGACGTGGGTCATGTTCGGTGTCAGGTTTCCAAACTCTTGTCTTTCGACCCTCGTGGGCTGGGGCAGCACTGAGGTTTGTGCCATCTCCGTTCTGGAATCGCCGAAGCTGGGATGCAATGATGAGCCGAAGAGCTGCCTGGCAGAGCCGGGCACCTCGCTGGAGCACGAGTACTCCAAGACTTCGAAAAACTGTCCCAGGTCTATCAAAAGTTTTCGGTTTTGGCGAGTGGGCTCTTCGCTGGCGACGTAAGTCGATGAGACCGTCTCCGCTAGTTTCTGAAGTTTGTTGGCCTATCTTTGTCAGCTGTCGCTCGACACGGAGGGGAAACTACTCACTATGCGCCCAAGATGCGGCCATTGCTCACCAAACCCACGAATGAATCTCAAGCACTTATCAAAGTTATCCCGCTTCTCTCTTCGCGTTCCTGGATCCTCGGAGAAGCTCTCCTGCAGATATATCGTGGCAATGATCGCAACGCAATGGCCCAAGAAAGGGTCCGTAATTTTAAACGACTTGGCTTCCAGCATATCCATCAAGCAGATAATCCAACAGGCGTGGGACGAGATGAGATCAGAGCTATGCTGAAGGAAGATCTCCGGAATGACACATTTGAAATCTCGCAGCCGAAGAGATATCAACAACGGATGATTCAAGAGGCAGATGTTGGTATGGTAGACGAACTGGATGAACAGCCACGGTCCCCAATAATCACGAGTCGAATTCAAATGTTCGGCAGAACGCTGGGAGAATTTTGCGGGTGCGAAGCGGTGCATGAAAGGCATCCGAGTTTCAAAGTCCATCTGGTGGGCCAGGATAGTGGCATACTCTGACTGTGAGGACCAAGGGGGTAGGGTGCTGGGCTTTCCGCGCCGGCGAGCGTACCTGGTGGTCTTGAACCAGACTTCGCTCAGCTGTATAGCGTACGCTACAATGCCTTTATCTGGCCCCTGGCCATCATTCTGATTTGGAGCAGCTGGAGTTGATTGGCACCCTAGCGATGATGGCTCGCCCGTTGTCTCGGGATACCAAGGAAAATTGTCCTCGGCAGAGAAGTCAAGGACCATAAAGTCGGCTCCGTGGAGCCGTTTGAGGAGGAAGAGACTCCAGAAACATCTTCTTCGCTCTTCTTTTTCCTGATCCGGGAGGGCATGCGGGTATTCTGTGATAAGCCCAGCGTTGTGTGCGAGGCTCATTGCTTGACTGCTGTGTATGCTTGCACGCCTTGTGTGACCATCTAAGCTTGTCAGCGAGGGGATCAGAAACCGGAAATAGGGTTCATACCAGCAAAATCAACAAGTGTCAAGAGGCACAGCGACTGGATTGTTGATAGCTCTACAAGCCCTTCAAATATCTTCTTGGAGATGATCGTTCTTGCAGACTCGACATAGCCACTGATAAGCCTCGCTTGGCTACTGCTAGAACCTGAAGTGTCTGTGAAACGCAAGGCTAGAGCGAGGATTGAGAGGAGAACTTCAGGCTGGCGATCTCTTAAGGTGTAGATAAAGGATGAGCGATGAAATAGGGGAAGCGGTTGGCAGTCGCAGTACTGGAGATACGTCTCTGCGGCACCGAGTATGACCTCCCGCGGAGGCAGTGGTGCCCTGTCAGCGTTAGAGCCTGGCAATGGAGGAAGAAATCTGGAGAGCGATCTTACGCGTCGCACATCTGTCGTGGGCTCGGCTGAGCACCATCACGATAAATCGGTGCCCTAGGAGACTCTGACGATACCCGCATCGAAGCCCCCCTATCCACCGTCTTCTGGTGCGCCAACACCTCCGAGAGTTGACTTTCCACGAGTCTCAACCGATCCTCCTGCGATGTAGTCTCATCAGTAGAAGTACATTTGCTTTCCTTGTCACACATCATCCTAAACTTACCAATATCACGTGATCTGTAGGAGCAGCAACAGATGAGCTCTTGGGCCCAACGGATCGAGCCGGACCATGCGGCGACGGCGTTATCGAACGTTCTTTATCAAGCCGCTCGTCGGAAAAGTAGCAGCTCTGGTGTAGCCGGGCGCAATGGGAACACACGGGTTTCTCGCCCGGACATCTGGACTTCTTGCGCCTGTTGTGATCGTGATCATGATCATTGATCAGCTTCCCGTGACACGGAGACGGAGATATCAGGTGACACGGATGCGCTTACCGGCACGGCTCACAGGCTTGCCGTATACGTTTGGCTGGGCGTTCGGATGACATCCGACAATTTACTTCGGGGCGCGGAAACGGAGACAGAAATGTGCGTACGAGGTATGTTGATACCGCAGGATTACGGAGTTCTACTCTGGTTGACGCGGAACTGAGTTGAGAGGTGCGGAAACGAGCCGGATCCGGAGAAACGTCGGAACTCCGAATCGTCGTTAATCGTCGGCTCGCTTAGGTGGGCCTCCTTACATCCTTTACTTCAGAGATTAGTTAAGAGTGGGCATGCAGGACGAAGCATCTTAAGATGTCGTTCGCCTTGTCGTGTTATTGGAATGCCATGTATACAAGGGAAGAAGTTGGATTCTTGAGGAAGGGATATATCATTGCAGACAGAAACTCATAATAAAAAAATACAGGCTATTTCGCTCAAACGTCAGACACAGCAGCAGCAGCAACAACCTGTCTTGCGACATCGGCATACATATCGTATTGGTTCATCTCCTCGATCGTCAACTTCTCAGACTCGTTCGTGACCTTGTATCCCGGCTTGTCGGTGTTACTCGAGAACCCGATTCGCTCGTTGATGTTCTCTCTCGCCCTCGCACTGGCTGCCTGCACCCGGGTCGCTCTGGGTTTACGCACTTGCTCGTAGATCTGCAGACCTTTCTTGATATCCTCCGCCGAGCCAGCAAACGAGTAGCTATCGCTGAAGATTATGCCGAGCGCACCGGCATCCTCAATTGCCATGCATGCTCCTTGGCTCTGATCAGGCATCATCGGGTGAGCTGCGTCTCCGAGGATGCATGTCTTGCCCTTTTGCCAGTGGGGGTAAGGTTGGTGCACAAATAGTCTCCATGGCTTGATATCTGTGGAGTTCCTGAACAAGGCCTGGAGGTCTGGATCCAGTGTTGAGAAAGGTTGCATGAGCTCTTCGACGGAGATGGAATGGCTCCACCCTTCGCCTGGGTTTCCAGCCATGCTCGCTGGGAAGAAGCAGTAAAATGAGTGTAACTCTCCCTCTCGACATGGGGAAAACACAATCTTGTTGATGTCTTGTCCACCCCAGAATTCGATTGCTTCGTTTGGTGTGAAGTCGTGCAGCCCCAACCTCTTCACGTCCTCGGTTGCAATAATACAATGGTAGCAATGCGATGTAGATTGTTTTCGCTCGGGCACGATACCAATCGTTCTCCGGACTTGCGAACCGATTCCATCGGCTCCAATGACCAGGTCGTGCGTTGCTTGTACACCGTTTTCAAACGTAATGGTACCAGCTTCATGGTCAATCTCGGATGCGCGGTGGTTGACCTTCAGGACAGCAGGAGTGCCAGGATACTTAGATGCCGTAGCCGAGTCCATAAGCATGGCATGCATGTCTACTCTATGGAACATGTTGTACACCTAAATCGATGAGCCACGCTTCCAAAATCGACGGATACACCTACGACACCCCATCGTTCCTTATAATCTGCCAAGTCGTAGATGTTCGTTGCCTCTCCAGTCGCCCAATCCCGCGAAATCAGCTTCTTCAGTACCACAGGTCGTCCCATGGGAATGTCGACACCCCATTTCTCCAAGAACCGCGTTCCATTTGCCGCACAGCTGATCGAAGCACCAACCTCTCCGGCAAAATCCGCGCGCTCATAGATAGTGACCTTGTGTCCAGCTCTGCGAAGAGAAGTTGCAGTTGCAAGACCACCTAGTGTTGTTGTTAGCTAACTTACGTAGGAAAGAGGTCGGGTATTGGTCTGGTAGGTCTGGACATACCGATTCCTCCCCCGACGACGGCAATGTCAAGCTCACGCCAGTTTGTACTGATAGACCCCATTGTGAAGCTAGTGTAGATGCAGAGAAAATGGCGAGGTGGTTCCAGGTAGTATAAGAGGAACTTGAAAGGAAAGTACTGAGTACGTCAAGAAGATATACCAACGCATTGCCATCTTGCAGACGATCCTTCCTTGCCTCTTGCCTCTGGCCCAAGAGCTGTCAAGCAGCAGAGCCAGAGATAGGCTAGATTCGGTCCGCGTAGGTAGAGTCGATAGGGGAGGGGGGTGGCAATGCCCCTCCTTGAAGAAGGCTGACCCGCATTCATGCCACCATCCTGTACTTGTGATGGGGTTCTTGGTGTTGGTGTTGGTGTTGGTGTTGGTATTGATCTTGGTGTTGTGGGTGTTCTGGGCACTGAGGAGCGCTGTGACTGTGCCGGCGCAAGGATTCAATTCGACCTGACGTGCGAGATCCGTGTGAGCCCAATTTTCCGCTTCCGTACCGGACCGTCCCGTACCCACTTGTCTGCAGCCGATCAATACCCATTGACGACGACGACAACAGAAATTATGCCGAGCAGAGGTCCATTCAAGCCTCAACAAGTCCGCACTCAATTTGATGCAACCTCCGCCGAACCCGGTTAAGTATCGGTTAAGTATCGGTCGGATTGAGGATGATACGTACGCCCGCCTCTTCAATCCAGTGACTGAGAATTGAGAGGACTAGATTCAGTGCGGAGACCAAGCTGTACGAAGATTCATGCTGTCTCGTACGTCAATTCGCGCTTAACGACTTAACGACTCAGAGATATCTTGGATATCTCAAGAAACTTGGGATCACGTGTAACAAGATGGCCCTCATCGAGGAAGAGGTCGAGATAGACAAGGTTATCGTGCAGGAGGACTTCAGCTACGGGGATCACGCGCTGCAGAAACTGACTGTCTATCACCACTTCGGAGAGAACAAGTCCCCCGATGGAGGTGGGCTCTTCCTGATGTATGCAACTCTCATTTCTCACATTTATATATATATATATATATATATATATATATATATATACTTC